GGTAGTGTTTTTATTTTTGTTATTGCTTTTATTACTGTCTGTGCTTTCACTTACAAAATTTATTTAGGTTATTGTTAAGGAATGGTAAATAGCCTGTTTGTCTGCAGCCATAATTTGTCTTGTTTTATAACCAGGTAGTGTTTTTATTTTTGTTATTGCTTTTATTACTGTCTGTTGCTTTCACTTACAGACCTACAAGGGAGAAACTATATAATCAGCATAAAAGATGAAAAAAGCTATGTTGAAATATTTTAACCATATATACGGGGTAAAACTTAATTTTTGCTATGATACCATATTAGTGATAGGCTAGAGAGAGTTTGGGTATCTGTAGCATTTGGTGGCTGAGGAATTTCAACTGAAGCGATTTTAATCCATTCTCCCTGCGGTTTGTATTGTTTACTGTACTATTTGGTTAATTGTTTTTTTACACACAAATGGCTCCACAAATGCTCGTCCATCAAAGAGTCAGTTGATATGAGTTTTTTGAATTTGCAGGATTTTTTTTTATAATTGATATCATTAAACCCTTCAGTCCAGATGACATCATATCATGAAAAATTTTGGCTTGAGGGGCAGGTGATGTGAACATGCCGTCATGGGAAAATTTGGTTGTGGCCAGGTGATGCCATCTTGAGGGATCCTGCTGAAGGTCAGGGTGATGAGAAATTGAGCTATGACTGCAAAAGCGCAGGCTCCTGGGAGGAGGCCATTTCCATGCTCAGCATCCTATTCCTGGTTGCTGTGACTGGTGGCGCAGGTTGCATTACATAAAATCGAAAAAAACTGAGACTATTTAGAGTGATAACATGGAGTCTGTGCAAGAAAAAAGTCTATTACCATCTGGATAAAGCAAATGACAAATATGGACATTGGAAAATGGCAAAAAAGCTAGAAGTGTTTATGCATAAAAAGACAAAAAAAAACATAGCAAATAGGTGGCAGAGAGTCTTGTCGCTGCACACAAGTGTTCATGTGTGCCTGGCCTACAAGTCACACACCCGGGCAGGTTGGCCATTTAAACCTAATGCCTGTTTTTTGTGTTTGCTGTGGCACACCACAATTCTTCCAAAAATCAAGAAATAGTGTAAACAGGTGAGATAGGTAGGACTAATAATTGTGGAGCCATCTTTGTGTAAACTCGGTCATTAAACTAATATATTTTTGTCATTGGGAGTGCAAGATATTCTTTTCCATAATGATTAAAATCCCATGATATTTTTTATGGCTATTTTATTCTTGTAAGAACATTCCTAATGCCATTCCTTACCTTGTCAAGGGCAGACTAGGAAAGATGGAGCCACCAGGCAAAAGTGAAGGATTCTTAGCATTTGTATGTTATTGCTTTTATTACTGTCTGTGCTTTCACTTACAAAATTTATTTAGGTTATTGTTAAGGAATGGTAAATAGCCTGTTTGTCTGCAGCCATAATTTGTCTTGTTTTATAACCAGGTAGTGTTTTTATTTTTGTTATTGCTTTTATTAATTACAATTAGGAGAGATTTCAGGGCAGGAATAGGACAAGACACATCTTGCCAGAAACTGAAGGACAAGGGATTGTATATAAACATAAAGTAAATTTCATTATTATGAAAGAAAATTGTTTTTGTACATGTGAAAAATTATTTTAATCATTAATGGTACTTATCTGACAGAACACATCACACTAAGTAATAATAAGGTTGAGGTGCTCTTGATATTTCTGATTGTGATGGCCAGGAAATATTTTGGTTTTCCATTCTGTTGTAAATTATTTATAATCCCATTTATATAAGAATAGCAGTGGAAGAGCTAGTGGTTAAGATATTTTTATTTTGTACAACTAGTGGTTGTGACTATCTGAAGAGTTACTGAGCTGACATTTACAGCATATTGATCTCTAACAGGTGGCCAGAGTACTTACAGGAGTATCAAGAGTTTTGCTAAATTAGTGATAAAAAAATGTGTATATATACCCTATGTACAAAAGAGAAGAGGAGAACAAAAAGCGAGCACTTCAACTTAAAAAACATATATATTGCAGAAAAGAAATGGTGAATGGTGTTGGGATCATTTTATAACTCTGAGTTTTCTGTATGTAATTTGACAAGACCTTGACCCTTCCAGGTAAAGGGTCTGTGGAGGAGGTAGAAGTTGACGGGAAGGATGCATCGGAGGGCGCCGGGGAGGCTGGGGAGGCTGGGGAGGCTGGGGAGGCCAGCCTGGAGGAAGGGGCCATGCCGCAGGTCATCTCCATCATCAACAACAGACACCAGGTAGGAGGCTCTAACTGTTCTTGAACTTTGAACTTGAAAAATGTAAATTGATAAGTTTTTTTTTGTGTGTGTGTGTGTGTGTGTATGTGAGGGTGCATGTGCATGAGTGCTTGTACATGCATGTTTATGATTTTAACTTAATTAAATGGGTCAGTATCACTTCCAGGGAAGTGAAAGTGTGTCTAATGATGACCTAGTAACAGTGGTTGAGGGACAGCATGAGGAGCAAGCATTGTCCGTTCCCCAAGATGAAGCTCTAAAAAATCAGGTCAGATTTGAAGATACTGAAGTTTGATACACAAAGTGCCAATTAGTTTTTTTCTTTCTTTCTTTCTTTTTTTTTTTTTTTTTTTTTTTTTTTTTTTTTTTTTCCTTTCTTTTTTTGTAGTAATATATTGCAGTGGTGATAATTTCTACAAGTTTACTCTTCCACACACAGGAAATACTGAAAGAATTGGAGGAGGCTGAGACTGCAGAAGAAATTCTGGTAGCTGCTGTGAGATATGTAAATTTGCGTCAAGAACAAGAGAACGCTAAAGGAAATACTCCACTATTAGATCATCCGTCATCGTCCATTGTGGCAGAACTACAGAGTCTGCTGGTCCGCAAGACAGCCTCAGACCCCAGTCTCCTGAGGTCATTGCTGAGTGTCCACTTGCGTGAACTGATGGCCGTCTTGCAGCAGGCCACCCCGAGCCCAGCCGATCTAGATGCCTCCATCCACCAGCTGCTGAACCAGCTGTCGGCCTTCAGCACGAAGCCCCCCCAGGAGAGCACGAAGAAGCCACTGATGACCGCGCCGGCCTCTCCCCAGGGGGCGGCACAGAAGGGCGACTTCCATGAGAACAGACTGGAACACCTCACGGAAAAAATTCAGGAAAAGATCAGAAAACTCAAGAAGAAGTATGAAGGCTTGATCCCGCAGCACATAGAGGGCTTGCTCAGTGATTTCGAAGGCACTTCTCCCCCCAATACCAAAGATGCAAACAGGAAAGATGAATTATAATAGAGCCATATTTTTTGTGTGAATTTAATGATAATATAAATCCATGCTAGATTATGTTTACCATATAATTTGTTATCCTTATCCTTTATTTTATTTTGTCTTCATTTTATTTTGGTTTATTTATTCAGATTTCTTTGGTTCAGGTGCATAATGTAATAAGAAATTACAAAGATACTCAGAATGGTGGATAAAACTGATGTTGATTATATGCCACACTGATGATATTTCATTGCACTGACACTGACTGAAGGATGCTCAGGGGAGCTGCTTGTCACTGTGATATTTGACATTAGTGGAGCAGTCATGTTGTGTGTGGTTTGTACAGTCAAAGTTTTATTATGGTACTTTCAAACATACAAAGTGCTCATGCATATTCCTTATCATGTCTCTACCTTGGGGCATTTGTGTATATATTGGATACGAAGGAGTGCACCATTTTCTCATAAGTTCAATAGTACTGAAAACATTCCAGAAGACAGTGAACACTGAGACAATACTAACTTAAGCCATACCTGTACAGAAGCCTATCTGATGATAGCAGACAGCCATCGATCAAGTGCAGCAATATCAGTACCAGTGACGGTTCTTGGCAAAAGCTCATTCGTATTGATGTTGCAATCTCTAGGCATAACGATTCTTCCAAGTGAAAGTACGACAGAAAAGAAGACTGCTTTTGAACTCATAAGGACATTGTGATATTGCATAGAAGTGAATATGCATAGCATTCATTAGTAGGCTCCTCACCCCACAGAAGTTCAATTAAATGTAATGCCAATTCTTCCCTTTCATGCAGTTTATTTATTGATTTTGTAACATAATTGTGTAAATGTTATAAGATGTAATTTAATATGTGCAGTTACAAACAAATCCATCCTATTGAAATTTAGGCATTTGCCAAGAGCAGAGGGCAAAGAATCTTTGTTCTGGCTGATTCTCACACCTGTTTGACTCCCTGAGAGCTAGTTCCCCTGATGAGGTGTAAAAGGATTCATTTGTGTTCCTGGAAATATTCACGCCTTCATCATGTGCACTTCATATTTCTTTTTTTCTTTCTTTCATTCTGTCTGTCTGTCACTAATGGAAATAAAAAGGGTTTTAAAAATGAATTTGCAAGGGAGTAGGGAATTGAAAATATCCAACTTTCACCTCCTTAGACTCATTAGGAAAACATACAACAGTACCTTATCTGATGCTTTCCCCTCCTTCCCCACCCTTCACCTTCCTTCCCTTCCACCTCCCTTAAGCTTTTTCAGAAGCCATGCACCGCCATCTGGCCATGCACACTGGTAAGCCAGCCTCACATCATGATAACTTATTGTCCTGTTCTCTGTTGAACTCTCATCACATACTTCACCCATTGTATTTCATCTCTGTGGTGTATTGCTTGCAGCATCTCTCGCAGCCACATTCACATTAGGTTAAAAGAAGCAAGAGAAAACCATATATTTTCTTTTATATCTTTTTTTTTTCTCTCTCTCTCTCTCTTTTTAAGGCCATTTTTGTGGGACATTTGAAGATGAAAATACTTGCTTTAATGAATTCTGTAGCTTTAACATAAGTCAAAGTAGAATTCCTGTGTCATTCACCTCTTTCACACTTAAATTGCATACTTTCCATGTTATGGCTAATGCACTGCCTTATTCCTCATAGATATAAATTTTATAAAGAGAACTTGTTGTTTGTTAAAATAAAGAAGTTGAGGGGATATGAGCATTCCTTAATGTAGTAATACAAATGCTGTAGGTATTCCTTTATTAAACTTTCAGCCAGAACATGGAATTCACTTATGATTGGCCGTAGCAGGTGTGGGTGCTATACAGACTGGGTCTGTCTCCTGTTCCTGTGTGGATGTGTGTGTGTGTGTGTATCAGCAGGTGTGCACCAGTGTGTTTTTATCATAATGTGCTAGGGTTACTGTAAAAATGGAAAAAAAAAAGTTTTTAATAAAGGTTAAAGAAAATTTACAAGTGCATTCATTATCATAAAGTATGATGCCTTAATAGTGATTTTGAAAAGATTTCAGAAATTTTAAATGTTCCTTTTTTGCTGTCAGCAAGATATTCTGCAAAATAAATCAGTTCTTGAATTTCTAATTAATGAGAAAAATAGGTTCATGTTTAGAGGCTTATTTTCTTATGATGCAAATCCTGTTTCAGATTACTTTTGCAAGCTTGAGTTTTGAGGCTGTTCTTGGCTGAATGCTCCTATACCATACCAAATTTGTCACACAGCCACTTTTTGTGCATAGGTGAAACCTTTCCGTTTCATTGTGTCAGAATATATTCTTGGCTGAATGCTCCTATACCATACCAAATTTGTCACACAGCCACTTTTTGTGCATAGGTGAAACCTTTCCGTTTCATTGTGTCAGAATATAAAATGGAAAAAATGCACCTCCCAGGATAAAAACTGGTAATGATGGGCAAAATGAAGAGAACACTTACTCCAATATTCCCTAAGAATGCCTGGTTGGCCTGCCATGCTTTTAATTTATCAGTCTTCCTCAAAAATGTGTTATATTTGATTTTTGTTTATACAATCTTAATTACATAGTGATTTTCTGATTAAGATTATATAAACAAAATTTCAGATAATTCACCTTACCATCTGGAACTTTTTTTTCACATTCACTCCTACATTTGACAATGTAAGTATGAGAAACTGACTAACATTTCTGTCTGATGAAAGACCATATAGGAAAACCAATATGGAAATAATGTTGTTGTTTTTTCTTTTATTGAGTGTATTCTGTTTTCTGAATATAAAAGATATACTTTAAATGTCCTATTTGCAGTAACTAAACAATCTGAATAACATGAAATACACAGAATGCAGCAGTCACAACTTTTGGGTTCATTAGAAAGAAAACCTTATCCTTTTAGTCTCTAACTTACACAAGTCTGTTATGGTACTTTAAAGCTTTACAATCACAAGAAAAGTAACCAAACACACAAAGTTCAAAGAAAGTACTGACACTCAGCATATGTGGAACTTCCATAATAATTATCCTTTAATATCCTTTAATATCCTTTAAACAAAGGCATTATCTTACTAAAGTATATTTCCTTCTTAGAGTACAATGAATGTTCAACATAATCAAATGTAGCCTGAAAGTTTCAACAAAAATCAAATCTTTTTCCAGTTCTATGCTATACCTTGACAAAAAATGCATAATTCTGATAATAGTACAAATTTCTATAAAAAATTAAACAAAATTACTTTTTTGTGATCTGTAAATAATGTTTTACTTAACTCATTGCAGCCAGGAAATTGCAATGTTCACTGCAATACTATTTGGTAAAATGTATTTACACACACATGGCTCCACAGATGACCAGTGTAAATTAGTTAACCTATGTGATCTGGCCTGATTGCCCTTTCCTTGTTTTTTTCTAATGCTAATAATAATATTGTTGTTGTTATGTAAATAAAGAATATTTCCAAAAGTCAAGGAAAGAATAAATAGGTGAGATAGGTAGGACGAGTAACTGACTTCTTGGTGACTTGGTGTAGAGACATCTATTTGTAGATACACTTAATCCACTGAACTCTGTGTGGGCATGGCAAGTACATATATGCCATCCCTGGGGGCACTGGGTTAAATGCAAATTCACTGTGTTCTTGTGTATTCAAATTATAAAAGATAGTTCTCCCATGTGGATTAACTGACTAAGCACTATGTTTAAGCAAATCCTTAATGTCCATAGATGTGTATTTGATAGAACAATAGGTTGACAGAAATAATATCTTATATAAAAGTTTCTAAAACTAAAAAACAAGATTTTCAAAGATTGCTGCCATACCAAATTAAAGCAACTTGGGGCCTATTATAAGTATACATTTAGTTTTGAGAAGAAGAAAGTGTCCAGTCATTTCTAATGTTTGCCCCAAAGTTCTTGAGGGTGAAAACATTAATTATTTTCTTCTTCACTTCCACTAGTCTCATCTTCTTCACTCTCATCCTCACTAGAGTCTGTTTCCTCAACATATATCACAGGTCTGTTTGGATTTTCCATTAAAAGATCATCACTTTCCTCATCTCCACTTTCCTCATCACTCTCCACATCATCTTTTAACTTTATTCTCTCAAGTTCTTTGCTTGGCTCCTTCTCATCCTTCTCCTCATCTTCATGCTCTGAAAAGCCTGCTGGCCACTTGTTGTTTTGCACTATGTACCGGATGTGGTCCTTCATCAAAATGCGGACAATTTCTGCCCGCACTTTGTTGCCCTCCGGGATGGACTCTGTTACCACATAGTCACCTCGCTTGATCCACACGTGCTTGCGGAATTTGTGCGGCATGGAGGCTAGGAACTCCTCCCCGTCTGCTGTGGTCACCTGAGATTACAAAGGAAATGGATGAGGGGGCTGACAGCCAGGAACTTTTTTTTCTACTAATCTTTATCTTTAAAACTAGTGTATGAGAAATCACAAAGCTCAAAAACAAATATCCAAATTAATCTGTATCTTACTCTCTCACTTACATTGCAGGATTCATGCTGAACAAGAAAACAAGAATATGTTGAGGGGAACTTAAGCAATACTGTTTCCTTTACACTATATTGTTTCTTTAAGGCCTGAAGGAGTGAAAAGGCATTTTTCTGTGTTTTCTCATTCTTCCCAGTGTTTTATTTATCACTCATTCACAACAACCATCAAAGTTTCAGTGTATATACAGATGCAATATGTAAGGATGGGCACATAAGCACACTCACCTGGTGTAAATTATTGCCTCGTGGTCTTACAACCCTCACAATGGACTGATGTTCTTCTGGCAATGAGAAGTCCTCGTACAACTCACGTTCTACATGTTTCTTTTTGGTTGTAACAGACATTATGATCTTTTCGATGTGGTTTCACATATAAGACCTGCAAAATATCATATACACAAAATATATTACCAATGTTGTTACATACACCACAGCAAAATACTGGTTCTGATGACTGGCTTATATAACATGAGTGTTACTGATAATATAATACCTGCTGCCTGCCATCTATCAAATCTTGGTTCTGACAATCATACATAAGATGAGGGACAAAGTGCAAATCATGAAGTAAATGATGGGGTACAGCAAGATATAAGACCACACAATATAATGGACCTTAGAATCTCTGGCAAAGGGCAAAACACCATGCTAGGAGTCAATGCTACAGGGCAGGTACAAGACCCTGAACTGCTGCAACGCTGAGAAAATTGGGCCCTTCCTTGCCCTGTGTACAGAAATGACACTTAATCTCCCTCTCAAGGCTAGCACAGGGACTGGAAACTGAACATTATATTTGACTTGGTGACCATGGGAAATCACGCAAGAAATATGCCCTTTATTTCTCCATAGCATAAAAAATCCAGAATAAAAAATTTAAATGTCTTCTTTTTGTACAGCTTACCACTCCCCCTCTCCCTCCCTCTCTCTCTCTCTCTCCCCCACTTTCCCTCCCTCTCTCTCCTTCCCTCTCCCTCCCTTCTTCTCTCTCCCTCCCTCCCTCCCTCTCTCTCCCTCCTTATGCCTTGGGATGACAGGTTTCAAGACAAGCACACTTTGGTTAAAACTAAAATTACAACAAATTCATCACTCTAATGTTTGTCAGTTTCTGGTGAAAGTCTGAGCAGCTGCTGCAAACACTATTCTCCTATATTCAAAAGTTTCTTCATTTTCATATGAAATAAAAATGCCTTATATGAAAAGAGTTTAAGAAATCATCAGTCTGTTGAACTGAAATACTACTTACCATGTTAGTGATCTTTGTTGCATACCAAAAAATAGCATTCTCACACTGATAAATTCAAAATATCACGATCCCAATAACACAACTGTGAAGTTATTAACATTTCAGCTTAAATTTTACAAAAAGACTCCTTGCTCTGGTGGTCAGCATACACTCTCTATACGCATATGTGCGTAGACCTACATAGGCCGACCCCAAGGCAACCGATGAATGCCACGTGATTAATCCATCAACAGCCGATACGGTTCCTTTCATGATGTATTATCGGAATGCTACAGATTCACTCCAGAAGTTAATAAAATATGATCTAAAAAAAATCACACCAAATAACCCTCGTACATTTAAAGACTCCACTTTAAAACCAGGAGAAAATGACAACACATGACGAGCCTCTTCATCGCTCCTCAACTCTCCCTTCTTCTGACGCCCACATTGACGCAGAACCAACCAAACTGCCTTCCCTGACACCGCTCGCTTATACCTAATACTCCATCACCCATTCGCGCCTTTCGCCCTCACCAGCGTTTCGTGGGCGCCTCGGAAGCGATTCGCCAAGGGACGTCCTGCGCCGTGTTTTGGTTTCTCGCTCACG